GGCTTAGGGCTTGAGGGTTTAGGGCTCAGGGTTTAAGGGTCCCGAAACCCAGCAAGCTAAAGCCGAATAGCCCTAAACCCTTAGCTAACCGTTTCGCCCTGAAAACAAGAAGCTGGCCCCTACACTTTGCAGCAGAAGCCAGAAAGTTGGAGCATTCTTCTCCTCATGGCCTTAAGGTAAAGTATAAGGGATCCTAGCACCAATATGTTCCAACTTGCTGTAAACCGATCAAGCCCTAAACCCGAAACCCCAAAAACCTAAACCCCTAAACCCCTAAACCCTAAACCCTTAAGTCCCCCACACAGGAGAGGAGCTGCGCAAGTTGGCCCGGAGCCACACTCTCTGCGTCACGGGGGCTGCTCTTGCAAAGATGAGAAAGGCCTGGAATGCTAAACCCTCCAAAGTCTCTTAAGCCGCGTTTCTCCAATTATGCTAAATATTGATAGATAATGTTAGCCGTGTGTGTGTATATATATACACACATGCATGTAGTCTTGTTTCTGTATACATATATATATATATATATGTAATTTAACACAACTGCATGTGCATATATATATATATATACATATATATATATATATGAGGGAGGCCCTTTAGGGTCTATTTCACCCCTCTTTAAATTAATATTTCACCATATAATCCAGACAACTGAAACAACTAACATAATTAAATATTAGAAATACTTAAATCACCCCCGATCTAATTATTTCGATTCTTTGGCCCTCCAAATTTCGGAAGTAATCGAAATAATGAAATCAGCCCCTGATTTAACTGATTTCGAATGGCTTAAAGAGTGACTTATTATTCGTATGATTTTACTCACCATTATTACGAACACTGTGATGATGATTATTGCTAATCGTACCGATTGCAGTTCTTTTGTTGTTCCTGATATTGTTGATGTTGTTGGAATGTGTCCTCGTATCGACTAGAAGATAGACTTGTAGGGGCTTGCTCCGAGACCTCTTGTGCACATCGATTTCGTATAGACTCCCCAAACTGTATAATTAAGTTCGATAGCACCCGAAACCCCAAACACTGTAGCACCCTAAAGCCAGTGATTCGAATGAATCTTCGTGTGACTGGCAGGAGGAGGTGGCTGCTGTCGTGGAGGTTGCGACTGTCTTCGCACGGGTGTCGCCGCAGCAGAAGGAGCAGGTAGTAGTGGCGCTCAATACAAAATCCCACACCGTCATGGTGGGAGATGGCACCAACGATGTTGGCGCACTCAAGCACGCACACGTTGGAATCTCCCTCATGACGACCAGCATCATTCCGCGCATGCCGACGAGGTCGGATTGCCTGGAAAAGAGCCATTCAACATAGAAGCCTGAACGTTCACCAATACTGATCCCTATCATGGTAGTATGGTATAATATACCCCAAAACCCTATTCTAATTGTCAGGGCCCTGGCAGCATGGTAGCTTAACTTGATATCTGGGGCTTTGCAGGCCGCAGGCGCAGAAATCCGTCAACGAGATGCTGGCGGACAATGGTCAGGTTCCCCTGGTGCCCTTGTCGATACTTGGAATCTTTTGTATTTAGTTACGTATGACTTAGAGTTTACGGTTAAGGTTTTAGGGTTTAGGTTTGAGGGTTAAGGTTGGAATTTAGGGTTGAGGTTTTAAGGTTTGGGTTCTAGGGCGAAGGCTGTGGGGTTTAATTGGGGTTTTGGGTTTCAAACGTTTAGATAGAGAGCCAATAAGAAAGGTCCTTCCCCCGTTCTTCTCGGGGTGCAGGTGCGGCTTGGCGATGCCAGCATCGCCAGTCCTTTCACATACAAGGGCGATTCCATCAAATGCAGCATTCAAGTGTTGCGGAGCGGCCGTGCAACACTCTGCTCAGTCCTCATGATGTACAAGATCATTGGTCAGGTTTAACAACAAGTTTCTTAGTTTCGCGCCCCTGAGCCTTAAATCCTAAGCCTTAGGCTCCGAGACCCTGAACCCTTACTGCAGAGATATGGCATGAGAAACGTATGTGATTAGGGTTAGGGGCCTTGCTAAGTTTGTGGTTTTTAAATATAAGATCTGCAGAATGATTGTAAGAAGGACCCCTTTAAGGAATAGCCTTGGTTTTTCTCTAGGCCCCCATCGCACCCAAGATTCCAAGTTGCACAGGATCATGGGCCTGAACAGTATCCTTTCCGCCTTTGCCATGCAACTTGGCATAGATGCGGGAGGTAGCCCGACCCGAAGCCGCCTAAACCAAGTCCATGATGCTCGAAAGTTCTAAAGATCAGAAAGCCCTACAAAGACCTACCTTTTCTGAGGATCTATATCCAGAAGCCATAATAAGGAAGCCTAAAACTTTCCAAAAAGGTAGGTGTCTTCGGCTACAGGTAAACGCGAAAGCCCAACGGTCCGATCTTCTGATTAGTAGCGGCCGACCTTTTCAGCTGTCTCCTGATAGTGTCCTGGTTGTTTTGTGTCCACTAGTACCCCCAAGCCCCTGTTTCAAGCTTTCCGCTGAGCGCATGACTCCAACCTCCGGTTTACTCTTAGCATCAAACTAGCCCAAAAGCCTTATACAAGAGGGTCTTTGGGCCCAAAAGCCTTAAAATATGAGTCCTCTGAGGGTGAGGGTTAGGGTTTAGGGTTCAAATTTTATGGAAGTACCTGAATCTGGGCGTGTAAGTTTTACTACAACTGTGGTTAGCCTATCTTTCCCCGAGCTACTGAGTCCCCATGTTGTATTAAGGATACCCTACTTAGCAGCAGAATGAGCACACTTGAAACTTTTTGGGAATATAATACGATCCCTTACAGAGCTGAGAGTCTGCGCTTTTTTGGTGCTTATGAACCCAGCAGCTAGGAACAGAAAAAAAAACCCTATGGAGCCCTTACTCAATTTCGATGCAGCCCTAGTTGCAAAGTCCCCATGGCCCGACAAGTATACCCTAGGAGACCCGATGGAGCTATGACGATAGAACTGATAGAACCCTTACTACGGCTGATGATATAAATCCTGCATTCCCCATAACACGGAATATACCATAATTCCCATAGTTTAGGGTCCTGAAGGTCATGCAGGATTTATATCATCAACAGTATAACCTTCAACTCCTTTTTATTTTACTCACGAAGTCTCCATTACCTCACCGCCAAGCCCTAAACCCTAAACCTTGAACCCTAAACTTGAACCCTAAAACCTGAACCCTAAATCCTTAACCCTAACCTAAACCCTATGCCCCAACAAGGTTTAGGGCTTAGGGTTTAGGGTTTATAGGGCCATTATAGGGCTTAGGGAGTAGGGTTTAGGGTTTAGGGAAGAACAAGGTCTGCATTGACCTTGGATGGAGTCAAGCTCGGTGATGGGCAAACGGCTATGGAGTCACTCTTCACGTCGATGTGTGGCTTAGCTTCAGGATATTCGGGTGCCCTACGAAAACCCTGAAGCAACCCGACAATAAAGACACTTAGCAACGGAAGCTCTCCCACCTATGAAAGGGCACGCAAGCACGCGCTGGCGCACACAAGAGTAGGAACCCTTGCATGCTTCGGCCATGTGAGATTGAATTCGCCTGGGAGGAGCCCGACTGTCAAGAAACCCCGTTAATGTAGGAACCTGACTAAAGACCCAGCATGTCTTAATCAATTTCCTCAAGTCTACATTTACCCGCCTACAACTCAAATCCCCGACAGGGCTGTACAAAGCCATCCGAAGACCCGAAATGAGGTATCCTTAGCTTCCACAACAACGAAAAGCCGTGTTTGTTCATCCCATTTTTGCGATGCTCGTTGTATTTTGGGGTTTCGGGTTTATCGGGTTTAGCCCTAAACCCTAAAACCCAAAACCCCTAAACCCCAAAACCCCTGAGCCCTAGACCCTAAATACCCCAAAACCCTGAACCCCTAAACCCCCAAAACCCCAAAACCCCTAAACCCCTAAACCCTACATCCCCTAAACCCTAAATCCCTAAAACCCCCTAAACCCCTAAAACCCCTAAACCCCTAAAACCCCTAAAACTCTAAAGCCCTAAACCCCTAAACCCTAAACCCCGAAAACCCTAAAAACCCCTAAACCCGTAAGCCCCTAAAACGCGTAAACCGCAGCGACGAGGCTTCTTTCTGGTCTCTAGGAGTGCGCCTGCAAAGCAGCTGGCAAGGCAGCCGCTCGGCTCCATCGCCCGAAAGGGTTAAGAGTTTTAGGGTTTAGGTTTAGGGTTGAGATCTTTAGGGTTTAGGTCCTTTAGGTTTAGGGTTTAGGGTTTAGGGTTTAGGGTTTGGGCGGGGGGGGTTCTTTTTTTTCAGGTTCCCTAGAAGTGCCAGGAAAGCCGGGGCCCCTGTTAAAGGCTTCTTGCGATAAAGATCTTCTTATTAACCCTAAACCCTAAACCCTAACACACATTACTCCCCTTATTAACCCGAAACCCTACACCCGAACGCACTTTGTTCTCTGGCGGCTCCATTGTAAGACCCCAAGTGCCAAGCCCAGAGTCGCAACATCAACGCCGTACCCTAAGCCCTAAACCCTAAACTCTAAACCCTAAACCCCAAAACCCTAAACTCCTAAACCCCTAAACCCTAAACCTCGAAACCCTAAACCCCCAAAGCCCTAAACCCCTAAAAAGCTTCGAGATCCCAGCGCTGATCCCAAGCCAGGCCTCAAAGCCTGACAAAACGACCCCAAACCCCATCAGAGGCAGGTCACCGATGTACCAAAACTCCCTAGGCCCTTAACGCCGCCAACGTTTTTAAGGATGTATATAAGAAAAGCACAATGATCTCCAAAAGTGCACGTGGTTTGTGCTCATCTTCTACACGGAGTAGAGAGATAGTTGGGTTTCTATTTGGGTTTCGGTGAGTGCATGTAGTGCTCCTTCGGATAGTAGTGACGGCATGCACACACACACACACATATATATATATATGTACATACGTACATACGTACATACATACACATACACATACACATACACATACACATACACATACACATGTACAGATACAGATACACATACACATACACATACACATGTACAGATACAGACATACACATACGTACACATACATACAC